CCGTCGTCAAAACAAAACAAAAACAAAAACCTAAAAACGGCTGCCTAATCACCCGTATCGAAATTCGAAAGGAGGAACTTGCTTTTATGTCTACATTTAGATACTAATTCATTCCTCTTATTTAATAAGTTATCATAGGTGTACGATATTATGAAATACTTTTCGTATAGACATAAGTTGCATCGTTTTATTGTGGGATTGTAAGATCTACAACGTTTTAAAATTTTCCATTTAATTGTCGGGTTTACTCCATTTTCCTTTAACTTCCATACTTCCTTAGACAACTCAGTATCGTTTTTATATTTTTCGATCTTAAAAGATTTTGTATGATTAGCGTATCTAAGTTTAAAAGCAGTTTCACTTACTCCAAAATACACTTTTTCAATCCCGTCTGGAGTGCCTGGATATAGAGTGGCTTGATACACTATGTTATTAACGAGACACTGTTGATTTAAAGGGCACTTGCTTTTAGTAATACAATTGCAACTTTTATCTGATTCTGGGGAGATGCTTTTCATAATATGACGGTTATGAAAGTTAACGATTGATTTGATGTTTGGCATACAACTGTAACTCACCTTTAGAGTATTTCTATTAAAAATCTTGTGGTATTTATGTCCAACTGGAAAGTGCTTGTCAATTAAATCCAAAAAGATTTTACCAATTTTAGTAGAAACATTTTTACTATATGGGGGGTTAAACCAGATAATATTGCGCTTACGGTTTTTTGGTAGAGGTTGAATGAGTTTCGGAAAATAATTAAGTTTAAATTTGTAACCAGACTTTTTTAATGCATCCTGATACAAATGAGCAGAGCTTCGAAAGCTAGTGTCATTAGATGAATTAGCTGACAACCTTAATTCTATAGAACGAGGAAGTTGCTTTATTATGCTAGGAGGGTGATTGGAATCAACATGTATATAATTTAGTTCATTGATTGGTTTACAAAATGGTCTAAAAGATTGATCATTGAGATTAAGTGTTACATCAAGGAAGTTCACAACTTTCATGTTACATTGTATGGAGATAGAAAGATTGTTATTTTTAAAAATTTGAATAATATGTTTTTTTATCGTGTCCATAAGGTGGCCACTAGCATTTTTAAAAACCGCTAAACCATCATCTCGGTATAAGCCAAAATCTGTCTTGTTATAATGCTGTGATAGCTGAAAAAGAAGAAAAACTCCGACAAGCTCACATACTTCTGCGCCGTCAAAAGCACCCATTGCAACATCAAACAAACCACTGTTCTTTTTAATCCAAGGTTGCTCATTATTAAACAACAACGATTTTCGAGCTTGTTTAATTATAAGTTTGTCTTCGTTTTTAATGGTTACAAAATTCTCAGCAAATTTAATGGCATCATTCAAAAGACTTTCATTGATAGAAGGATAAAAATCAACAATGTCAAAAATTAAAAATTTATAAAAATGCTTGTTTTTAATACCTTTGAACCAATCTAAAACGTTTTGCGTGCTTTTCCATTGATTAAGAGAGAGAGTATTTTTCAGCTCAGCAATAACGTTGGATAAAATAAATTTACTGATCCTTCCAATTTCATTTTTTGCTGGATTCAAAAGGCGGACTGTAGGTTTGTTTAAAAAATTGTCTTTATGATCTTTTAAAGTGATAAAGCAGTTAGATGGTGTATTAATTTCAATTCTGCTAAAAATCTCATGATTTTTTAACAAAACTTTCCCCTCCATATTTAACTGACTATTTATTTGCGAGTCTGTTTTTTCATAGGATGTAGTGATAGAGTTGATAAGCAGTTTATTGTATTGGTCTTTAGATAACTGATATAAATTCGATGTTTTATCGGCTTGTGTAAATGCTTTGTCCGACTTACATATTCTTTTGACATCGTTACTTAGCTTGTGCTGAAAAGCGCTTTTTATTTTACGAAATTTTAAATATTTAATAAGATTTAGTAGATCATTTTCAAAAGCAATCAAATCTTTAACTTGCTGTGGAAATTTATTCGTGCTGATGCCGTAGGTTGAAGGAATAAAATCATTGTTATTGTTCTGCAGATTTGTATTGTTGAAGAAAATTGCTTTCCATCTCATCCTTTTTATAAGCTCTTCCGTTTTTTCTAATAACTTTAATTTATAGGTTTTTTCCGATGGTATAGGAATATTCTTGATAGAGTAATTAAAATTTACTTTCTCCATTCTTTAAACGACTTGAGAAAAGTGCTCAGCTGTTGGAGCGAATATTATATTGTATGATATTTTGTATTTGCAATAAAATACAAAAAACTCTTGAACGTATAAGAGTGCTCAATAATAAATAAATAGGATTTATTTATATTATTTAAATTATTTAATAGAGCATTATATTAATTTATAAAAATAAAGAAAACAACTTTTTTTGGTACTAATAGTTTCATGCCTAAAGGCAATCATCAGCCATGTAATACAAAACAAGAAACAAAAAAAAACCGTTAAAATATAAAGTTACAGTGGAATGTGCTCCGTCGTCAAAACAAAACAAAAACAAAAACCTAAAAACGGCTGCCTAATCACCCGTATCGAAATTCGAAAGGAGGAACTTGCTTTTATGTCTACATTTAGATACTAATTCATTCCTCTTATTTAATAAGTTATCATAGGTGTACGATATTATGAAATACTTTTCGTATAGACATAAGTTGCATCGTTTTATTGTGGGATTGTAAGATCTACAACGTTTTAAAATTTTCCATTTAATTGTCGGGTTTACTCCATTTTCCTTTAACTTCCATACTTCCTTAGACAACTCAGTATCGTTTTTATATTTTTCGATCTTAAAAGATTTTGTATGATTAGCGTATCTAAGTTTAAAAGCAGTTTCACTTACTCCAAAATACACTTTTTCAATCCCGTCTGGAGTGCCTGGATATAGAGTGGCTTGATACACTATGTTATTAACGAGACACTGTTGATTTAAAGGGCACTTGCTTTTAGTAATACAATTGCAACTTTTATCTGATTCTGGGGGGATGCTTTTCATAATATGACGGTTATGAAAGTTAACGATTGATTTGATGTTTGGCATACAACTGTAACTCACCTTTAGAGTATTTCTATTAAAAATCTTGTGGTATTTATGTCCAACTGGAAAGTGCTTGTCAATTAAATCCAAAAAGATTTTACGAATTTTAGTAGAAACATTTTTACTATATGGGGGGTTAAACCAGATAATATTGCGCTTACGGTTTTTTGGTAGAGGTTGAATGAGTTTCGGAAAATAATTAAGTTTAAATTTGTAACCAGACTTTTTTAATGCATCCTGATACAAATGAGCAGAGCTTCGAAAGCTAGTGTCATTAGATGAATTAGCTGACAACCTTAATTCTATAGAACGAGGAAGTTGCTTTATTATGCTAGGAGGGTGATTGGAATCAACATGTATATAATTTAGTTCATTGATTGGTTAAACAAGCTCGAAAATCGTTGTTGTTTAATAATGAGCAACCTTGGATTAAAAAGAACAGTGGTTTGTTTGATGTTGCAATGGGTGCTTTTGACGGCGCAGAAGTATGTGAGCTTGTCGGAGTTTTTCTTCTTTTTCAGCTATCACAGCATTATAACAAGACAGATTTTGGATTATACCGAGATGATGGTTTAGCGGTTTTTAAAAATGCTAGTGGCCACCTTATGGACACGATAAAAAAACATATTATTCAAATTTTTAAAAATAACAATCTTTCTATCTCCATACAATGTAACATGAAAGTTGTGAACTTCCTTGATGTAACACTTAATCTCAATGATCAATCTTTTAGACCATTTTGTAAACCAATCAATGAACTAAATTATATACATGTTGATTCCAATCACCCTCCTAGCATAATAAAGCAACTTCCTCGTTCTATAGAATTAAGGTTGTCAGCTAATTCATCTAATGACACTAGCTTTCGAAGCTCTGCTCATTTGTATCAGGATGCATTAAAAAAGTCTGGTTACAAATTTAAACTTAATTATTTTCCGAAACTCATTCAACCTCTACCAAAAAACCGTAAGCGCAATATTATCTGGTTTAACCCCCCATATAGTAAAAATGTTTCTACTAAAATTGGTAAAATCTTTTTGGATTTAATTGACAAGCACTTTCCAGTTGGACATAAATACCACAAGATTTTTAATAGAAATACTCTAAAGGTGAGTTACAGTTGTATGCCAAACATCAAATCAATCGTTAACTTTCATAACCATCATATTATGAAAAGCATCCCCCCCAGAATCAGATAAAAGTTGCAATTGTATTACTAAAAGCAAGTGCCCTTTAAATCAACAGTGTCTCGTTAATAACATAGTGTATCAAGCCACTCTATATCCAGGCACTCCAGACGGGATTGAAAAAGTGTATTTTGGAGTAAGTGAAACTGCTTTTAAACTTAGATACGCTAATCATACAAAATCTTTTAAGATCGAAAAATATAAAAACGATACTGAGTTGTCTAAGGAAGTATGGAAGTTAAAGGAAAATGGAGTAAACCCGACAATTAAATGGAAAATTTTAAAACGTTGTAGATCTTACAATCCCACAATAAAACGATGCAACTTATGTCTATACGAAAAGTATTTCATAATATCGTACACCTATGATAACTTATTAAATAAGAGGAATGAATTAGTATCTAAATGTAGACATAAAAGCAAGTTCCTCCTTTCGAATTTCGATACGGGTGATTAGGCAGCCGTTTTTAGGTTTTTGTTTTTGTTTTGTTTTGACGACGGAGCACATTCCACTGTAACTTTATATTTTAACGGTTTTTTTTTGTTTCTTGTTTTGTATTACATGGCTGATGATTGCCTTTAGGCATGAAACTATTAGTACCAAAAAAAGTTGTTTTCTTTATTTTTATAAATTAATATATATATATATATATATATATATATATATATATATATATATATATATATATATATATATATATATATATATATATATATATATATATATATATATATATATATATACATTTATATTCTTCTATATAATTTATATCATAGGGAAAACATTAAAAGTAAACTCACTTTGCGTTAATCCATCAGATGACAACTTGGCAAGAGGTGCTAATGTTCAACTTACAAAATGTGACAATAAAAAACAAATTTTGATGCATGAGTTAGGTAATTAATTACATAAAATAATAAATAAATAATGAATATGTTAATTGTTTAATCTGAGTAACTAAGTAATAATGCCGACCTCTTTGATTTCTTTTTCTAGCATTTTTATAATTCCTTCTATTATCATCCCTTAAATATATTAGAGGTTAAGTATTTTTGTGTAATAATAATAAAACTTTGTGTAGCAGTGTTTAATATTACTAACTAATAGAGCTATATAGGTATATATTATTTACTTGACGAAAACAGTCCTTAAAGAACTTTTTTTTTATTTGTAAAACTAAAAAAAAATTTTTCTCGTTTTTTTTTGTTTGTTAGATTTCAGGTTTAAAACTAACACAATTGTAAATAGATTTTCGGTTTTTTTGTTGTTTTTTTTTCTTTGTTTTGCTTTGTTTTGTTTTTAGTAGAGTATCTTGTGTTAAAGTTTACTTATTAAAAAAATATAAGTTCGATCTAATATAAAAGATACGAATCTTTTTATAAAACTGCTCGTAATAAAGTTTCATTTGTGATTAGATGTTTTTACGGTGTATAAGGTGAAGTAAAAATTTTTCTATAAGTTAAAAAGTCACTGTGATCTAATCAAAAAAATCGGTTAACAGACGGTACCGAATTTGAAAAAAAAGCTATTCTCAAACTACCATAGCGGTTAAGATAATAATTTAAAAAGTTTGTTTTCTAAACAAATATAGAATTATTTGTCATATAATTTAAATTTATTTTTTGTTAATTATTATTTATCCATAAAGTAGGGTAAAGCTGGGCTAGATGAGCATAGGGCAAGTTGGGCAGTTAAAATATCTCAAAAGCAACGCATCAAAAGACAAGATATTTAATGGATGAAAGTTAGGGAATTAGAATGTTAACACACTGGGTAACAAAAGATTGCTGAAAAGCTATTGAGTAAGATGCAAGGGCACTTTTTCTATTTTTGAACGAAAAAGTAAAAAAAAAGCTTTTACTCTTTCCTTTTGTATGAGTATAAACTTTTTTATCTGCCATAACTTAAGTGTAGATAATTTTCCAATAAATATTTCAATATATATACTTTTGATTAAAATTAACCGTTTTTTCTTTGATCTTACTCTTCTTTTTAAAACCTTACTAATGCGTCACATTGTCTAAAAGGAGTAAGTTGAGCAGCTTTAAGAAAAAAAAAAAAAAAATTAACTATCAAACACAAAGAAACAACTTTGATAAGAAATAATAAATGCGGTACATTATTTATATTAAAAAAAGTTAATAAAAAATTAGTAATTTTTAAATTGGGCTTTAAAGTTCAAGATTGTTGTATAAAATTATATTTCATATTTTGTGACACTTTCTTACTATTTAATTTTTTTTTCATTTTTTTATTTGCGTCATTAAAATGTATAAAATAAAAAGTTTATAAATTTTACACACGCTTACTGTTGGTGAAAGTTTTATTGATGATTCATGCAAGTTTTGTACCATACATGTCATTTATTTTTAGATTTTTAAGCTTACCACACTCTATTGTTCAATTTACTCCGCTGGGGCAGGTGGGACAACTCCGCAAACTTTAGTCAATATCTTCTCGAAAAAATTAAAATCTATACTTTTTTCCTAACATTTTTAGCAGGTTAATTTCTCTTTTAAATATTAAAAACATTATGCAAATGCGACGCACCATTCTTGTAATCTGTTAGATTTAGTAAAAATTGCTCAACTAGCCCCGCTCTACCCTATATTTTAACCAAGTAACTATAAAACTTAATAAATTACTAACTTGTTTATAATTTTACAAAATTAGGTTTGATGTCACTCTGTTGAAAAAAAGTTATTAGAGTGACACTTATTAAATAATGCAAAACAAACAGCAAAAAGTAAAAATAAAGATAGTGACTAAAAAATTAAAAAAAAAATCAATCGAATTTCTTTAAAAAGAAAAACAATAATATTTAAAAAGGCAAAAATAATAACAGAAATAAAATATAGCAAAAATATTTGCTAAAACTATAGTCTTTTTGTGATAAAAAGTAGAAAATTAATTTTTCGATTTAAATTTAATAGTTCCGTAAACTAAAGATTGACAGGTCTGCGCAATGTTTATTTAGAAACATATCTGTCAATCTTTATTTTACGGAACTATTAAATTTAAATTAAAAAGTTTATTTTCTACTTTTTAGTACAAGAAGATTTTATTTTTAGCATATGTTTTTCTATATTTTATTTTCTATTTTTTAGTCTTTACAGAGAGTTACAATAATGAGCAATGAGTTTATTTAGACATGTGTAATTAAGTTGAGCTTTTTATCCTAAAGAAACGTAGTATTTGCTGATTAAAGAAGCGATTATTTTTATTTTAAAAGATAAAAATTTTTTATATAAAACTAAAATATCATAAAGTAAAAATATTTTATATTTTAAAATATTTTAAATACATTGCAACCCGCGTCCTACCACAGATGTAGTATATTTTTATATTAATATTAGTTTTTCAATTTTATTAAAATTTTTTATCAAAAAAAAAGTAGTAAAAAAAAGATTTAAAAAAAAATACGAACTCACTAGCAATTTTAGCCGATTTTAAAAACTATTGTTAAAAGAGAACAAAGTAAATTTAAAAAATTACAAACCCACAAGCAATATTCCCAGTAAGCAGACACTATTTGGCCCATTAGCGAACCAGGCGCGGCTGCCGAGCAGTACCAGGCCTGACAATTTAATAAATTTGCATTAAAAATATATAAAAAATAAATGCATTAAATTTATTATTAATAATATAAATACTTATAATAAGGTCAAATATATAATTAGTATAAAACATAACATATAAAACAGATAATGCAAGACTTTGAGAACATTATATTTTGTCAGATTCATCAAAAATAAAGCGTTTAAATTGTGGTAATGATAATCCAAATAAAGGTTTCAATGTCAATGATTGGGCAGTATAGCCACGATTTTTTGTTGAACTGGTTTTTTGGATAGACTTTTTTTCTGCTCGAGAAAAAAAAGCCACAACTGTCTTTTAAATTTCGCTGTATCTTTTGTCAGCAAATTTCTTATATATATATATATATATATATATATATATATATATATATATATATATATATATATATATATATATATATATATATATATATATATATATATATATATATATATATACATATACATATAGGCAGGATTAAAAGTCTTTTTTCAAAAGAAATGACCTTTATAAACTAAATTGGAAATTCAAAAAAAAAAATAAAAACGTTTAGAAGGGGGCATAATACCTAACATGCTACCTATAAAGACTTATTTAATTTCAGGTAAAGATATTGCATGTGGAGTAATAACTTTTTTGTTATAGCCATCAAAACTTGTGTCACGGAAGGTACTTATTGTTCCTTCCCTGACACAAGTTTTTAATGCCTATAACTAAAAATTTAGAATTCTCTTAACAATGTATTTTCTCAAAATTAAATAAATATTTATAGTTAGTTTGTTAGGTATTTTTACCCCCTTCTAAACCTTTTTAGATTTTTTTAAATTTTCAATTAAGTTTATAAAGGCATTTCCTTTTGAAAAATACGGCTTTTTTTTGTATCTGAATTGAGCAGGTTTTGATTCAAAAATCAAATCAAGAATCAAATCAGCAATTTAAAGAATATGAGTTAAAATATTTCTTTATATCATATATTTCAAAAAAAAAAAAATAATAGTAAAAACTCTTTTTTGGTTCTTCATGTAGTTTTAAACAATTGGTAACAATTTTTAACAATTGGTAACAACTTTTAACAATTGGTAACAATTTTTAATAATTGGTAACAATTTTTAACGAATGGTAACAGTTTTTAACAATTGGTAACATTTTTTAACAATTCGTAACATTTTTTAACAATTGGTAAGAACAAAGAAAGTATTTTTTAAGAGTGCAAAAGTGCCCAATTATTCAAAAATACTACAGCAAAAAGAATATAAGTAAATATTCAATAACTTAAATCTTTTTTTTTGAAACTGAAATCACTTTTCCGATTCAGTTCGAAATTTTGAAGATTCACATGGCCCTAATGTGGGTATGTATGTATGTATGCAAGTTTGTATGTATGTATATATATAAATATATATATATATATATATATATATATATATATATATATATATATATATATATATATATATATATATATATATATATATATATATATACATACATATATATACATATATATATAAACACACACACACACACATAGAAACACACATATCTAAATTTGATAAATGACAATAAAGTGAAAAAAACAATGAAAGACAATTTTAAATATTTATATTTATTTATTATTATATTTATTAACTTACTTTCAATAACTTGACGAGATTTAAGAATTCGGAAAGACTTTTTTTGAAGATCACCTTGGCTTGTTCAATTCAATTTTTTTGCTACTTCCCTTATTGCTGCTACTTCCTTCACCTTAAAAAAATTGTTAACTCTAGTAAAACATTTTAATTCATTTTTTTTTTTATTAAAATTAGTTATAATTCATAACAAGTTTTGCAATAGGCTACAAATTAGTATTCAAAATACCTTAATCACAGAGGTAATTATGATCACTGTTTCCAAAATCGTTTTACTTTTGTTTAATACAGAGACAGGTGTCTGCAGACAAGACTTTTTTAATTCTTGATGTTCATTAAAATTTTGTGAGTCACTATCATAATTTTCATCAGGTTACTTCTGTACTCTAAGCACATAAGTCTAATGTTAAAATATAGTTTATAGAAATTTTTATAGTATATTATAAATACCTTAAAGTATACATTAAAAAGTATACTTGAAATACAAAATAATACTTTAAGATATTACGATGTTCAGTAAAAATAATTTTAAGGCTAAACATTAACAGAGTTAATAAGTGTATACTTTAGTAAACAAATAATAATTAAAACCTAGTGAAGTACTACTTTACTCAACGCCAAATTAAAAATAAAGAAATTATAAAGAAATATAATTAAGCTTGAATAAATATATAAAATAAAGGAAAATATAGTTGGGGGATGATGACAATGATAATGAGATCATATAAAATATAGCATAAAAAAAACATCTATATATAATGAACTTTATTTAAATACATAAAAAACACAAATTTTAATAAAATTGTAGGATGCAATAACATTTAAGCAGCTCTGGTCATAGATCAGCAAATTAAACGAGTGAAGTCTTGTGTGATATTATGCTGAGAAGATCAAAATGCTAAATCACCCTCTAGTTCACCTATTACAAAATTCGTATCACTTTTATCTGAATCGTTATCAGATAAAGCTTCAAATTCACTAATTTCATTATCAATTTGATAAGAAATATTGAGATTATTTATAAGAAATATTGAGGTTATTATCCAGAGCAGTGGTGTTGGAAAGTTCATTATCTGAAGTGTTCAACCAATGTTTATTCCAATTGCTTTGAACGACTGTTTTGGGCAAAGCGTCAATAGGCTGAGGAAAATAAAACCCAGTTTTATCTATGTATTCATAGTTATAGGTTCCCTCAATAACCATTTCCCCTTGATTGATTTCGGACAAATAAATAAATAAATTTTATTCATTTATGAAAAACTTTTACTGAAAATTTTACGAAAAAACTATTACTGAAAGAAAAAAAATTCGAGAAGTTAAAAGTATTTTATTTTAACTTAATTATAAAGATTAAAATAAAATAATTTTAAGTTTTCGATTTTTTTTCATTTTTTTTAAATTTTATTAAAATTCGAGAAGTTAAAATTATTTTAACTTTTATTACAAATGTTACAATAAAATAATTTTAACTTCTCGAATTTTTTTTCTTTCAGTCCAATAGTTTATAACTAAAACCAAGATTACTATATATACAGGGTGTAATATAATGAAAATTATATACTTGAATAAAAACATAAATATATTTTTCTTATCGTAAAATTTGCATCTACATTAAAAAAATTTCACGCCATGCATTTTTGTACCTTTGGCGAGCCATTAATTATACGCTTATGATATGCCAATGGTTAGCCAGTTCTGGTTTGCCAGCTAAGGCCGTTAACTGGATCACATGTGTTTTTGCCGGACCTTGCTCGCCAGCTCTGGCACATTAATATACTGCTGATTGGGTTAGCGTATTTTAAAAATAAAAAGATTTGTTACATAATTATTACTATTATAATCAAACCAGCAAGCAATTTAGTAGTAAATTTCTCTATAAAATGTTTCTTTTTTAGAGCGTCATGGACGACAATAAAAGTTAAGAAAAAAAATTATATAAGTGAAAGAAAAGATTATGAAATATTAAACTTTTTAGCAAATTTTGTTGCTATATTTTATTTTTTTCTTTTTAATCTTTACAGAGAGTCATGATATTTAGCAATTTCAAGACATTTGAAATTAAATCTAGCTTTTTATCCTTATTAAAGAAACGGAGTATTCCCTGATTAAAGAGGATGACTAAATAAGCGCGAACTCCATAAGTGCAAACTGGCATAAGTGCGAATAACGTAAATACGAACTTGCATAAATGCAAATTGGCATAAATGTGAACAGGCATAAGTGCAAAGCAGTTACAAAAATTGGCACAAGAACTGGCATAAGTGCGAATTGGCATAACTGAGCCATAAGAATTTTAAAACATTGGCATTAGTGTAAAATGCGATAAGTGCGAACTTGCATATGTGCGCCGAATAAAAACGCAACTTTTTATACTTCGCACTTATGCCACTTCGCAGTTTTGGCAGAGTTTGCAACGCCTCGCACTTATGCTAGTTTGCACTTATGCCAGTTCGCTAATATTAAGCCTCCTGGATTAAAGGAGCGAAATATATTTTTTTTAAGGATAAAAATTTTTTATATCAAAGTAAAATAACATACAAATACCGTACAAATATGTCATTTGCATTGCCACCTTCGTCCTCCTACACATACAATATATTTTTATACTAATATTAAACAAAGTTATGTTGTAAGTTATATTTTTCGAGTTTATTTAAAAAAAAAAATTTCAAAAAGTAAGTATTAAAAGATTTTAAAAAAAGGTACGAATCCACAAGCGTAATGTTAGCCGATTTTAAGCTAAAAAAATTATTTTTCTATTAGTTAAGATTATTTTTAATAATAAAACAAACCCGCAAGCAGTTTAGATGCAAGTTTCTATATAAAAGGTTACTTTTTAGGTGTCTGAGAAATAGTTCATTTAATGTGAACTCCAAACATAACTTTGTCGGCGTACATTAGTTAGATGATCTAACTAACACTATGTATTGTACCCTCTAACATCGTGTACAATCCTGTCTGCTTATTCTATGCTATCTTTCTAACTCGACTACTTCTATCTTATATTAACTTCTATCTATATATTCTGTCCGCATTCTCTATGCTATCTTTCTAACACAACTACTCTCTTTCACTCTAACATATCTTCGTTCTTCCCAATTTCACCTTACTCTCGGTCCGTAGAGCGGGTTATGACGCTCCTTTAGGATCCAAAACAAGTCTTTGCGGACCTAGGTAATGTGGTCTACACAAAGCAATTAGCTGGCGGAGGATAAACCACAAACCCTAGTGAACTCCAATAAAATCTTTGAACATCACTCTATCGTATCTTCTTTCTTCCCAAATCAGCTTACCCTCGGTCCGTCGAGCAGGTTATGACGCTCCTTGGCGAGCCGAACTTGATTTTTAGCCGGAGGAGGATAAACCACAATACCAGAGTTCATGTTAAGCGAATGAAAAGATTAGATAAACGGATTTAGTAAATAAAAGGATATAAGAGATTATGAATAAATAAGATAGCACAATATTTAAATATAAGAAAAAAGATAAGGTAAAACAGAAAACAAAAAGATATATTTAGATATCAAGATCAAAGGAAATTAACCGAATTACTTGAATAGTAGCAACAAAAGTAAAGTAAAGCGACAACAGCACAAAAAAAAATACACAACCATATAAACAATATATAAAAGTACACGACAGTGTAACAAAATGCACAAAATTACAGGACAGTTTAAACTACACACAGTATTACGCAGCAATATAAACAATGCAAACAACTTTGACAAAAAGATCTTAAAAAAAAACTTAAAAAAAAATAATTTTTTTTTTATGTTTAAATGTTTTGCTAAAATCTTCATAACTGTTCTTTCAATGACTTATAACGGTTTTTTATTTTCGAGTTTATTGCGAACATTTAATTTTTTAACTTGTTGTTTTGTTTTTTTAATGTTGTTTTTTAATTTTATTCTTTAACGTTTTTACTTCTTTTGTTAATTTTTTTTTTCCGTTTACTTGATTGTCTTTTTTTTCTTCTTTTTTGGCTTTAAAAAAAAACACCTTTTCAATTTGGCAGGTAGTGTTTTTTTATTTGAAGGAAATCTCATTGCATAGAAGATTTATTTATTTCATTGAATAGTAAGAAAATGTTTTCAATAAAAATATATTTGTATGTAATAAAACTGTAATATAAGTTGAATAAAATTAATTTAGATATGGGTCAAGTTACCGTTTTGGTTTTTAAAGATGTTGAAAGCATGATGGCTTTAAAAGAAAAACTAAGCATTCCCACTGATAATGGTTTTATTGATAACTTTGGCTTCTCATTTTATTACATTGGCAAAGCAGGAGTTCGCATGCAGGTATACTTCAGAGCTCCAGAATCTGGGAACTATGTTTTTTATGTCAAGTGTAGCGGTATCTGTGAGTTATTATTTACAGATGATTTATCAGACGTTGAATCTGCTGACATAATAGCTAGCTGTCCACAATGGGTTTCTAGTTGGAAAAAGTAAGTATCACTCCGTTATGTATAATATAAAATAAAACAAGTTATAATTTAGGCCTGTTTTTATTTTCAAATTGATAAAACATTTATACCTTATTTGACATTTGTCATCGTCGGACTCATTTTGAGAGAAAAATTCATTTTAATTTCTCAACCCAAAGTCTAAATTAGAAACTTAAAATTAATATTTGAAACCGGTATTGTAACAAATAAGTTATCTCAGTGTTTTCTTAAAAAATTACCCAAATAATATATTCTAATTTTGGTGTAGTACCCGGCGCACTGCAAATATCGAGATGGTTATCAAATAAATATGCTTCATGTGAATAGAATTGTGTGTATTTTGCTTAGTTTATTTTATTACTAGATACGATGAACAAAAATCAGCTGAAATCTATTTAAGCGTTGGCAAACAATATTATTTAGAAATCATCTTGTTTAATACAAAAATCTATGCGCACGGTATGGCAGCTGTTACATTACCCAGTGGTAAACTTGATGAGCCAATAAGCTATGAGTATCTTACGAGAATAAATTAATTTTGTTTATGATATTTTAAAGTTGTTTAATTCTATAGAAAATTAAAAAAAACTTTTTGTTTCTTTATTATTATTTTTTTGCTATTCTTGTTTTGAATTTTTTTTTTTTATTTCAATTTTTGGTCCAGTTTTAATTTTTACATTTTTCTATTTTACATTTTAATTTTTTAAGTATTTTATGATTTTATATGATGTACTAAATAAAACCTGTATTTGCTTTTTTAAATAAATGTATTCGCAAATAATAAAATTATACAACTACGTTATAATTTTCTTAGATTAATGCATTTGATAATAAAATTTATGGTAAAGTATTTAAAGACTACGCATTAGAGCCATACAATTTTCTTTAATCGTTTTTTATTAGTATTGGCGTGTTATTTTAATTTTGATGTCTCCATGATAAATATATATAATTAATAAATTTGTTGTTTGATGTTTTTATTGTTCAGTATAATGTATTAAATGAAAGTTCTTAAACATTTAAACAAGATATAGTGTAAAAGATAAGATAAATGAAATAGTGGAACATTGCATACACGTATTACATATTAAGTTAATTGCTTCTTTCTACCTTATAAAATGAAATAAAAACTTTCTTGAAACGTACATGCCTATTGTTTTATAAATTTCGCTGAATTTTTTCTATATAACTATCACGATAAACTCTTCGTCGCCTGAAAATTAGTTTGTTCAACAAACTTATTTACCACTTATTCCAAAATATAATTGGATACCCAGACAGCAAGCTTACATTGGACCAACGTTGGGCCAATGCATGGTGATGTATTGGCCCAACGTTGAAATTCGATGTTGGCCCAATGCAGGGTTAGGCATTAGCCCAATGTTATGTACAACATTGGTCCAATGTTGTATATGATATTGGGCCAATGTTGTATATGACTTTAAGCCAATGTATAAAACGTTGGGCAAATGTGTTTTGCAGCATTGGCCCAATATTGTATAAAACATTTCGCCAATGTTGTATACAACGTTGAGCCAATGTTGTTATACAATTATATTATATAACCAACGGCGGATGCATCGGGTCAACGTTGTGAGCTATCAGAGTAGCTCTTCACTAAATATACAAAAACATTTGTTGTATCACCACAATGTTTTACTCACCATTGAGTTATTGATCTAAATAGATGATATTTATCATCACTAAGAAACTTACAGACAAATAAAAAAAATTGTATGATATAACTAGAAGATTTTATTACATAACTACTCCGTTACATAAAGCAAAGCATAACAAAAAAATTTTTAATAGAACAACTTTCTAAAAAATTCATTGAGTAGTTTCGACAGAGCTACTTTTTATCAAAACGTGTTTAGCTATTGATCTGAGATGCCCACGACTATCCACTTTTCTTCCTCCATCCTTATCACATGCCTGCTAAAGAAATACGAAATGCATCAAGGTAATATACTTACCATATGTTTAAATATTTTCTTGTCTTTTAACTTTTCTTCTTAAGTTATTAAATTTTCTAATGTGTCTAGTGGCAAAGACACTCCATCAGGCAAATCACTGATTGGCATATCTATGTTGCCCTTCTGAATCATACTTAAAGTCAAATTTGTTGAGTTTTGCAACTCACCAAGATGTACTTCAATACTTGCCAATCGAGCAAACAATGCCTGCATTGTGATGCAATGACATCTGGAAATAGTAAATTTAATAAATATTCTTAAAAAACTATACAAAAGACTATAGATAACATAAAAAGAAAAGCCGGGCAATGTCAGGTTTTTCTCATTTTGATAAAATCTATTTTTTTTATCTAAGTTTTAAATGCTCCTTAAAGCCTTATTTAATTAGTGTTGAAAAGCCACTTTTAAAAGGATTGGAATTTTTTTCTCCTTGTTTTTATTATCGTTTGATAAATTACAAATTTATGAATTACAACATACTAGTTTGAAAAATGGTAACAACTCAAAAGTTAAAAAAATGTGACATCCCTGTTTTTTCCACAGAGGTTTTTAATATAATCTTTTGCTAGTAAGGCAAAAAATTCAAGACTGAGGGCAACATTTAAATAAATAAATTTATATACTTGCTGATGATTTCATAATTTTCTTATCAATTATTGAATTTGATGGTGTGCATTCAATTTCTGCAACTGATGGAAAACAGTTCTCATTTTCATTTCAACTAAAGATAAATTTAAATTACATCCAAAAAATAATGTTATAATAGGATTTTCATAGGTAATGAAATTTATATAGTTTTTTTGTCAACTCAATAGTTTTATATTTAAAACTAGTGACTTTATTTGACTATTAGTAGTCAGAACAAGCATATGTATATATATATATATATATATATATATATATATATATATATATATATTATATATATATATATATATATATATATATATATATATATATATTGATACAAGGAAAACAAAAGAAAATTTTCTTTAATATATTCACAAGTGCACAAGTATAAAAGACTGTGAGTTCAGATATATGCAACACATCTTCGTTGATGGTTTGTAACAGAAAATGTTGTTTTTTTGTTCAAAACTTGAAATATTTTCACAGGTAGTTGTAAAATTATTGATCACTGAAATAAATTAACTAAAACATATGCATATCATATATTTATATCAGGGCATTAGCCAGGAATATATTTTATCTGCGTTTTTGCAATAATTCATTTGCGTTTTTGCAATAATGAGAAGTTTTGTTATTATACTAAAAACATTTGTAAACTTTTATTGAAATTGTCCTATTATTCTAATATTTTAATTTTAATAAAGCTTACCATAACTATGAAGTAATTTTATATTAGGAACTATATCCCAAGTCTTTTCTGGTTTCTCACTTTCCTCCACTGCTTTTTCAAGTTTTCTTCCACGAAGTTTAGGCCAGAAGCAGCTGTCATTATTATAGAGCCAATTAGTTGGCACAACTGCCACTATATTTTCATCCAAAAAATGTACTATAACAAACATGTTTGTTGAAAATCAAATCTTTAGAAAAAAAGATTTATCACAAAAAAATATAATTATATTCTATTAATTTGAAAATTTTTCTTTAAACGCAAATAAATTGAACATTATTATAATATTATAGTACTATATAATCTGCAATATAATAGATCGAAATTTAATACATCAAAAATATAACATACTAAAAATAACAAATTGCAAATATAAAACACTAAAAATATAATGAAATTTAACATACTAATAAGAATTAATGTAATAAAAATCTTTACACAAAACAAGATAACTAAGTTATCAAAAAAATAGAACTAAGTTATATTTAAAACCTGTGAAAAGTACATTACATATATTATTATTTTAACAAACATACATACATCTTATGTTAACCATTATATTATAAGATTAATATAAATATAAACATTTATAATGAAATAATCAAAATTATTGAAATTTAAACTCCATAAACCTTAATAAGGTAAAAACACAACAAATTTTTACTATTTATAATGATGTTTATAATAATATAAGAACAACTATTTATAGTAATGTTTAAAAATAGTTATAAAAAACAAAATAAAAAAGGATAAAACTTTTTTTTTGATACTGTTTGTCGGTGTAGTATTGGAAATATATATTAAATTCTGTTCCACTTTCTTGTGTCGGCAATTGCTAACACTTGCTATCAATATTTTCAATCTTTACTGCAATTAAATCAGTTGTTTCATTACATACTTTGCAATTGAAGAACTAGTGTCTGATTATACATTATCTGCAATTGAAGAACTAATGTCTGAGTCATAATTATTAATTTTAATGAAATGATCGTATTTATCTTTGTAATTTTTTGTGGAGAAATCTAAGTTTTCATTATTGAAGCTATCAACAAGGAAAATACAATTAATTGGTAACTAAGATATTCAGAATGCTTTTTATGACAAAAAACCTGAACCAGTGCTTAAAATTAGTGAAATATGTAGGAGAATTATCTTGTTACACCACTCTCCTTTCTAAACACAACACTCACATTAGTTATAACCATTGTGCCCTTTAATACACTTTACAAATGTTCTAGTTAGTGCATAACAGCAAAATTTTAAACTCAATATTTTTATAGATAAAACCATGTTTTGCAAGAACTTTGAAAACTACCAAAATATTATGTAAATCATTAAGGTGACCAACTATTGTCATTTACTGAGTTTTGTACTCTTTTTTCACAAACCATTTCAAATCTTGTACTCTGAAAATACTCATTGTATAATTTTGTGCTCATTTGTATTTTTAAAACATTTTGTCAGATTATTTCATTTCAATTTTATTAATTAATTATTTAAAATTATTTTGACAGTAATTTGAATTTCATGGGCGCATACTCATGCTGTTTCCGGCACGTCAGAGGACAGGGCAAACACCAGACACATTTGAGAGGTCAGATTATGTACCTGGAGAGATAGATACTACAGACCTATTTTTCTAACAACGTCAAAGTTACATTTGTGAAAAGAGACGGATATATATATCTCTCCAATAAATTCCCAGGCTGATCTTTGATATGAACGACATGTTTGACTGTCTTGACGCATGCGTTGTATGTTCAGCAAAGTTTTTTTATCCATATATCTAATTAAATATAAGGATAAAAAAACCTTACTGTATTTACTACGCATGTGCTTTTGGTTAATTAACCATAAAATCAAATATTGCAAACTTAATTACAATTTATATTACATTTGTTTTTAGACCTGAAGCTTTGTGGAGATTGTTAAATTTAGCAAACTGGTAGGCAACTTTACGCAAAACTTGAGGTGTTAAACTAAAAAAGAATAGTTTCCATTTGCTTGATATAAGTCACTAGCTATTTTTCCATTTCAATTGAAAACTCACATTTTACTGATCCAAGTGATTTCAACGAGGCCTCAATTGCTGAAGACATAGACCTCTCATTCCAACGCTGTCTTTAAATTTTTCTGACGTATTTCCCCATATCTAAAACAAGAGGAATTGATAGAAAAAAAGCTTATAAAATCAGTCCAATTCAATCAAATTAAAAAAAAACATTTATACTAAAACTTTATTATATAAATCTCTATATATTATAATTATATTCAATATAGTTAATATTGTATATTAATTATATTGAATATAATTAATATATATTATAAAGTACTGTATATAACTTTCTATATATTGTTCTATATAACAATATATAGAAAGTTTTATAAAGTCCTTTTTTTCTAAAAAGGTGCCGGAACTTTTTCTTTATATGCATTTATATATCAAATACGAGGGAGAAAT